AAACTGTCTTCAGTAGGACTACAGTAATAATAATATGCCCTGCAAACATGGCATATTTCTTGAGCCTGGATTTCTGTGGCGTGTCGCTTTCAGCATAAATTCAGAAGGCGGTCCTGCTCGATACGGCACGTATTGTTCGCCGATTCTTGACCCTGAGTCCCTGACCCCGGTCGACTGTGCCATTGCCGGGGAATACCGCCACTACCAGAGAGAGGCGAGAGTTTAAAATAGATATGATAATAATATTAATATTAATAATAATAATGCACACACTCAACATAGCCCCGCACTAAGGAAATCCTGTGTCGCGGGTACCAAGGATACACACATAGACAACCACAAATTACACCCAAACTCACGAGAAAAATAAATGTAGGCCATACAAATATTTCTCCCGACCCGGGAATCGAATCTGGGTCCTCTGCGTGGCAGTCACGGCAAGGTAACCGTTCGGCTACGGAGGCAGACAAAACCATTTTCATTTTACGCTCACAAGCTCGAATAAGGTCGATTTTAAGTCGTACAAGTTTCTGTTAGGCAATAAAGATATTTTTATTTTACGCTTATAAGCTTGAATAACGTCGATCATAAGTCATACAAGTTTTGATGAATATAGTTATGTTTTCCAATAAGCGTCACATATTTTTTCGTCACATTGTTAGTTAGCGATGATGCGTGATAATCTGTTCCGTTGGACGAGCCTCCGGGGCTTGAATTTGCATGCTCGAAGTAGGTATATGGGCAAGTCTTCGGCGCGGCCGCAGCCTCCGACCGTTATTTTTACGGACACACTGACCCCGATACAAGGTGTACGAATTTTAATTAACAGCTAACTTGTCCTTAAAATTAAGCCAATGTCTTCAAAAGATATTAAATTGATAGTAAATTACTAGACACATAGCATACACATCTTACTGAGTGCGCTGTGGCAAAAAAGTCGTTAAAAACAAAGAACAAAGGTTCGTGACAAGCACATAGAAAATATCGTAAGGTGTGCTAGTTAGTTCGTGCAGAGCGTCAGGCTCGGTATGCTGAAGGCGGTGGTTCGATCCAGCCGGATTGAATAATTTTTTCTTAGTTTTCGACCTTTGTATTAAAAATTATAACAAAATAGTATAGTAAGTAAAAAAAAAAAAATTATGTTAGTAAAACATGATGATATTCAAAAAACTTATTTGACTGTTTTTAAATTTTATAAAGGAATAAAACACGTCGGTATAGAACCTTTTAGAAGTGGTCATTTTTTATTTTATTTTCAAGGGCAAGTAACTCTACTTAAATTTATTATAATTAATATGGTGAAATTGTCTTCATTATATTCTATAAAACAACAAAGTATCTGTCGCTTTTTGTAACACGTTGGCGACACTTTTGACAAGTTTCAAAAAGGATCTTGTGCATTCGTATGAATAATTGAAAACACTCACGTATGTTCGAAGCGCTATTGGTATAAGTTGAAGCACAATAACTTCGAGCAGGGAGGCTTTAAACAATGCCGATGTCAATGACCTAGCGCGCCCAAACCATGTTGATTCTTCTGCGGTTACTCACTGACATACCACTGATGTGAACGTATTAAAATTACATGTCTTTCTCTAATTCAACGATCGTGACAAGTAAAGCCCATAGCTTTATAATTACGATGTTAATCATTTTAATGTTATGGTTTCTTTAATTTTTATTGGTTTAAAACCAAGTGAATCATACACTTCGACTAAAGAATTAGTACGTAAAAAATCTATAAAAGCTATGCCATCAAAGCAGCTGCTAATGGAACGGAATTTCCAAAAGAGTAATTGTATCTCCGTCTGAGACGACTGACGTTAAACAAATTGTCTTAACATGTCATCGGCCGTCGGCATCGCTCTAATTCGTCGCTTGTTGACGAGCCATAAAATCAAATATCAACATTAGCATTTATTATATTTACTGGACAAATGTTTTCTTTGAAGTTTATTTATAAATAAACTTCAAAGATCAACTCTATAGAGTTGCACAAACAATAGTTAGCTTTTAGGGATATTGACAGAAGATTTGCAGTCACGTTTATGCGTTTGTAATCTTTGGTGTACCAGGAGACAAAGGTGTGGGGAAATGTATGCTTAAAGGCATTAGGATGCATGCCACGCTTTGGCGCTGCGTCTGTGGTTGCCACTCTTCAGGGTCATTTATGTATACTGTACTCTTTTTCAATCGAACAAAGACTTATGTAACGCCATCTAAAGGTTTGTTTAAATACGTTTATTTAATACTGAGTGAGATAATATGTTGTTCTTCACTTCTTGGAGTGTCGACTCTGACGTTTATATTTGTGAGAACCAGTATTTAGCGTCGGACGCAGCATTATCAGTGGCGTTAGTACTTGTAGGAACACGCAGGACAAAATATGTACCATTGTCTGAGGAGAGACACCACACAGATAGCAGCAAGGTAAGCACCCGTGCATGCTTACCTTGCTTCGGCCGACTTAGGTTCGCAACCTATTGTTAGAGACTTCTAAGTTTGCCAAAGTAGATCATACCCAACAGGGGGGTACTCCGACAGCGGAATGAGTGATGCCGTGAGGTATCTCTCCTTCCAGAGATTCGCGCTTGGTTAGGTTCCCCGCCCAGAAGGTTTACTTGTTTAATGAAGCTATGGCGACTCTTTAGCCTCAGGATTACCGGCAAATGGTCTTGTAAGGGGTATCGCGGGTCAGTCACTTTTTTTAAGCTTTCATGTTTATTGAGATATTTTGACACTTAGTCACACGGAATCGCCGTGAGTTTATCTATAAAGATATTAATGTTTAAATATACTACAGTGTTATTAAATAAACAAAATGGTAGATAGATAGATAAAACGTTGATGGTCTTGCATCACACACACAACAATATAACACAGTAAATTGATAAAAAGAGACACACAGATATCAAAATTAAAGAAAACAATATAAAAACAAAGAGCAATACAATAAAAAAAAAAACATAAAACATAAATGAAGCCTCGTAGCGGCTTACTCAAAGTCTGGGCAGCGTTCCCGCTCTGTATGGCTATATAAATATATGCTGAGCACCCTTGTGTTCACCTCATTATTGTAGTACTGAACATAGAATTCCCGCCCTATGCGCCATTTCACACGATCCTCACTTTGTCGCATCCATTTCCTGCTAGCAGCCTTTTTTCTTTTATTGTCTTCATCCGTAGGGCTAGCACGATAAGGCACGACTTGCGCAAGAGCCACATAGAGCGCGAGACCCTTTGCGAGAATAACAATATCTCGCGCTTGTCGCGTCCCATCGTGCTAGCCCTGCTGGTTCTCGAAGTCGATTCATGTATTTTAAATCCAATTTTAAACAAAACAAAATGCACTGTGACACCAGAGACCCAGGGCTTAACTTCCAAGGGTACGAATAATGAGTCTGAGCCGAAAACCTCATACTTTAGGCTTTTTCATCTTTCCTCATTAAGTAGTTATGTATAGCAACATAAGTAATTATCCAAGTAGCAACATTTCTCGTTATCCTTATCAAAGGCGTTGACAATAAACAATAGTCTTTCGACCTTGCCGCGATGCGCGATACGTATCATTAGTATACTATGGCGCAAGGGAGATAGATAACTCCATCTTCACAATCGGGTTAAAATTGAGCTTAACTAAGAATCGTAAAAGTAGTATAATTATCTTTGTTTTAATGGTTTATTGTCTGTTTTCTCTCATATCTGTTAAACTTAATATAAATATAAATGATAAAAACTACGACTAATTTCGATTCTAGAACCTTTAAACTTGTCTCCTGAAAAGTTGTCATTTCGCAGATATAGCCTTATTACACCGAACCACCACCAAAGGGTGCAATTTATTGTGTGAAATTTCGTATTAAAATATATTTTTTCATATAATATCAAGTAACGGGACGAACGAGTCGGGCGCCTGATGGAAAACTACACGCCTGATCTTCACAGTTGCAGTGCCACTCAGAGCTTAAATTGCAAAGACCTGCGGGGTACTGCCACTGCGCCCATCACCTTGAGACATAAGTTGACAAGTCCCATGTGCCTGTAATTTCACCAGCACCCTTACCCATCAAAACCGGAAAGCAGTAATGCTAACATGACTGGTTAGCGGCAGAAATAGGTAAGGTGGCAGTACTTCCCTGGACAAAAACTTTCGCCACGAACTCTACTGCTGCTTAAATCTGTTATAATAGACAATAGTAGATATGATTATTACAAGTTGCAGGCGTCTTACCACGGTATGAGTTCTTACTACTTACCTCAAATCCGGAACGGTTACACGATCCACGGTCATGGGTTGTCTTACTGACCGTTTCGAAATATCGTAGAAGAAGTCATACTGAGTTAAGCAACCTGCAACTAGTTATTTTACCCATTACACAAATCAATAATAACTATTGACAAATTATAATAATAAAAAATAAAAAATAAAATAATAATAATAACAAATAAAAACAATGCAAACTTAGCACAAAAAAACTTTATCAAATTCTCGTAACAGTCTATAACAACCTCGAATGGCGGTGGTTGATTCCGCATAACAGTGTAAGTGTTGAATCAATCACTTTGGATAAAATATGTAGTAAAATTGAGGATATAGGTACATTGATTACTTATAGGGTGTTAAAACACGATTCCCAAAAAAAATTCACGTAGGAAACACAAACTTAGATCGAAATTTCATTTCATCATACCGATGATGAAAAAATCATTAGTACTTATATGTAAAGTACCGGCTTTACATATAAGTATCAATGGTTTTTTTTATATCAACTGAACTAAATAGAACACGTATAGTATACGATACATTTTTCAAATGGATTTAATTTCGTTAGTAAAAAAAGAAATTCTGAAATAAAGCCAGTGTCCCTGCCACTCGACCCAAACAAAATGAATCGTAATAGTACGGGAAAAACTTGAATTCGAGCTGAGGTAGCATTGACTCTTAATTGTCTAAGCTTAATTTATAGTGGCCACAGTATTCAAATGTTATCAATTTGCAGATGTACCTGGCTCAATATGGGTACCTGAGCCCGACGGTGCGGAATCCCTCCAGTGGTCACATCATGGACGAGAGCTCGTGGCGCCGCGCCATCCAGGAATTCCAGAGCTTCGCCGGACTTAATGCGACAGGTAAGCTTAGGTATATGATTGTGAATATGAGTGTTCAAAACAATACGACCTCTGTGGTCGAGAGGCTTGCACACTGATTTTCATAGGATGACCAGATGATGTGTGAGGCTGGGTCAGAGTAGAGAAACTAACTTTTCTATTATTGTCTCAGGTCCGGGTGTTTGTGGTACCGTCGTTGTTTCCGATTTCCATACACAAGTGCTTAGTTACTTAGAAACCTAGAACTCACGTTGTGAAGTAGGTCGACCAGATACGTGTAGCTGTTTTAAAAAAATAGAGGTCTACACCATAATTGTAATTTTTTTGTCTTAGTAATAAGAAAACACAATAAAAAGTACAGTGCCAAAAAAAAAAGGGCAGTGTACTTTTTATTGTTTCAAGTAATCACATGAGATCATGAGCCCGTAAACGAATCGTCTGCTTTGCGTTTTGGATATTCTGCAGTTGTTTTTATACCATCTTCCTGATGATGTAGGTAATATTGTGATAGGATAGGTTTCTAGAAAAAATCGATATGCAAAACTTTAATCACAAACCAATATTATTAAAACGCTTTAAGGGACTACGTATACTATAAAATAAAATCTGTCCCATAATATGATTCTGAGTCTAACTATAGTTACCTATACACTTCTGTATCCTTATATACTATATATTGTATATTGTATAAGCAATCGATAAATGAAAATTGAACTTAATAAAAACTCTTTCAATAAAATAATTTGTAGCGTAAATTGAAATGTTTTATTTGTAAAATTAAAAATGAGGTATTTAATTAATAACTATTGTAACTATAGTGAAAAAGCGGGGTAGTTTGCATTAATATTGGACATAACTGGTTGAAAACTGTACCACCTCAGTCAACCGTGACCATGTTGAATGTATGTATGTTGAAAATAGTTTTATTTCCTATGTGTAACAATCGCGATAACCTAAGAACTCGATATATACATATTATAATTACAGACCTAAGCAATGCCGTCATAGTGTCCTACAACAATATTATAGCATTAGATAAAGCCGTGTTACCGGTGGATGACACGGCTGGGTGACAGTGCATATCTTACATTGCACGGGTTGACGTAATTAATGGCGATGCTACCCCACATCCGTATCACCTTGACCTTGTCACAGACGAACTGCCTCAGGTCAAAAGGTTAATTTTGGAATCGCTACAACTGTATGTATACTATGTATAATTGTAGTTAAGCTGCAATGCAAGTCGCGTTGAATATATTTTTGTCGATCCTTCCATGCCCGTCTCATCAGTTTACTCAAAAGATGCTAATAATAATGTGCTAGATAACTACACCAATTAACTGGACTTAAACAAAGGAATTCCTAGCACTTTGAGTACCATTTTACCCGCTGAACCCAAGTCATAGGTCTCACAGTAATAGAAATATGATTTTTTTACTTATATTTTTTTAGTTACACGAAAAGTATACTGCCATTTCATGCTATATTTGCACATACAAATAATTACTAATTTCTGATATTGTAAAAAAAAATGATTATAAGATACATCGTAAAATTGTTTTTAAACTTTAATATTATAACCGTCTCGCAGCATCATTATCGATCAACCTGTATTTTTATGTTTATGTTTTTTTGGGCGAGGACCAATAAATTTTATTATTATTATATCTATTTTAGACTCGCTTCTCCCAAGACCTAAAAGATTAATTTTGAATTTATACATGGGAGAGGCAGTATTCCCCTGCAATGGCACAGTTAACCCATTTGCGGACAAAAAATATTATTGTTATTATTATTCCACAGAAATCATAATTTCAAATAAATATTCTCGAAAAAATTACGTGGGGACGTGCAAAGGAGCTAATACTTAAAAGAAAATCTAATAGAAAGAATTAGCGCCGCTTTTGATTCTATGAAAAAAAATGTACCTATAGAGTAAAGTCATTCAAAAATCTCATTCACAGGTCAGTCCGAAGGTTCTATAACAGTCTGCAATTCCATAACCCTGGTACATCATTACCTTTATCAAGATCTACACATTGACAATGCAATTTACGGCCCAATGCGACGGCTACCTATTTAAATACCATACTATTATGTGGGCGGTTGAATCTCCGACGTGCCTTGACACGAGAAGTAGTTTATTGGTCTTGACTCTGAACATCGTTTATTAGCTTATTATGTAAGCAAATAACGTAGTCCAGAACCTCGCAAATACATAATTCATTGTTGGTCATTGCACGACTGGTAGGTACACATATTATGTTATATTACGAGATGTTATAGGGTTTTGTTGTCAAGTTTTTATACTGTGCAATATTTCAGTTGGACTTTGCAAGAACATAGCTTAAGTTTGGTGTTTCCTTTGTATTGTGCAGTCGATGTCCTAGTGTGAAGAAAGGTGTTAAACAAACAAACCTGTGAGCCGTTAAATTAATTTTTATATGACTTCCTTATTGCATCGCTAGTGATTAACGTTTTAAAAAACTTTTTAAGCCAATTGGATCTTTAATTACATTATATATATATACAAATTTCAACCAAAAAGCTGGAATTCCATTACACATTTCTGTACAATGCATAAGAGGGCTCTCGTACCAAAATGTCGGCTAAAGGGTCAAGTATCTTAAGATATCGATTGTACATGATATAATAGGGACGTGGAAAACAAAATTATTGTAGTAACTCATCGTTACTTATATTAGAAACAAAACTGTACGTCAAGGTATTTTAAAATCTTAGCCGTCCATGCAAAATTACGCATGCTGATGACGTACCTTCGTAAAGGTAGTATTTTTCTCTTAATCTTTAATACTTCCGTATTCAACTTCCTGTACTTACTCATACTTTTTTGTAGATAAAGTTGATTATATCTAAATATATTTTTTATTTTTGTGCGTCTATCTAATCTAATCTTTGGAGCACAAGTGTGTTTGTCATTTCATCAAATTGAGACATTTTTCATGCGTAAAAAAACAATTCTTGAATGAAATAAATAATCTGAAGTCAGAATCTTTTTTCAAAAAGTTAATTAAGCGCAAACATTGTTTATAATTAAAACATGATTCGAACCACGAGATTCCGTTCAGTTTCCGTCGAGTCACCTCCTCGGATTTAAGATTACGGATTGATTCGATACATTACGATAACAAGACCACCGTTTAGCGATTAATACCTAAGACAAAATTGACACATTATATGTAAAGCAGCGGTTTTTATGAGTCATATAGTAAGAAGCGCGTCGCTACAGGCGTTGTGCCTGTTTATATAAAGTTTTCCGCCTGCGGTCAAGCCCGATGTGATTTTGTAATTACTTCCTTGTCATCTGACAATAAAAACTCTTTAAAAACATACGTATTGGCGAAATGATACTTAGTGACTGGCGACTAACCAGTTTTTTTTTCAAATAGGAACGTTAATATATATATGACGTGGTAGTTTAATGGTTTCATCTAACCGCCTCTTAAGCAGAGACCGCGGGTTCGAATCCGGGCTCGTACCTCTGGGTTTTCGGAATTTATATACGAAATTTAATTTGAATTTTATTATGAGCTTTTCGGTGAAAGAAAACATCGTAATGAAACCTGTACGTCGAAGAAGATTCACAACCCTCGGAAATCGTGTGAAGCCACAACCGGCATGGCTTAAACCCTCGCCTAAGAAGACCCGTGTTTAGCAGTGCGACGCATATACGTATAAATGGGTTAATGATAATGATGACTAATTTGGTTTGGTATTTATTCAGAAACCTGACATACTTGCTTCAGGTTTTTTTGTTTCTGTTCATTTCTGTATGCAAACCCCAAAGCAGAAAGCAATTAGATTACTTACAGAAATTTTGTTATATTACATTATTTGAACTGCACCTTTTTTCTTCGCAGGTGAACTCGATGAGGAGACTGTGAAAGTAATGGCACTGCCAAGATGTGGTGTTCGAGACAAAGTAGGCTTCGGAGAGAGCAGAGCCAAAAGATACGCGCTACAAGGTAATAAATCAAAACTTTGAAAGTCTCATTTTAAGTACTTTGATGCCTTTACATTATTTGGGCATATTTTCTCTAAACGGTTGTAATAGCAATTCATCAATTCGCAACAATGGCTTTCATAACAGACCCTAACTTTTGTTCACATTAATTCAATGCAGTCCCTTCATATTTCAACTGGTGATATCGTGCTTTTTGACTGTTGATTGATATCCTGTCTAATTAGAATTTTCTGTTTTAAAATTTATTTTCCATTTCATAAATTTTATTGCACTCTATACTCTAGCCAAATTCTATGTAGAATAAATGTCTACAAACAAAAACATTTATGATTTTTAGGGTTCTAACCTTGGACTGTTTTACAGTTACCACAATTTCAATATCCTTACCCGAAATTTAAATAATTAATCACCACTGGTAATTTTTGTGTTACTTTAATATCATTTATTTACTAGTGATTTCAAACGTGATTTCTATTGAACAAAATTTATCATAGTCATGAACTTCAAGATTAATAATATCAATCTAATCAAATTTCGGGAAAGAATATTGAATATTTAAGACTCCAATTAAGCGAGGACGCTGTGGCAGAGCTAGTCTAAAGAATAAGCATTGACAGAAATGTTCTTTTCACCTGCTATCATTAGTTGCCTAGCATTGTTTTCTTACTGAACATTGTATATCGAATTTGCTTAGAGTATAGAGTATTGCGAGTAATTGCTTATACACGAAGAGCCCATTACTAACTTTTGGTACTCGTAATTTTATTATAACCATCGCTTAAGTTTTCTTTTTATCCATTCCGGCAAGTTCGTGTCAATGCCACCTACTATTTAAAACAAACTGGATAAGATTACTACGCTTTCTCTATCTTAGGCAATCGCGTCAAGGCGAATTACAATAGCGATTGATCTAAATAATAAACAACAAAATTTAACTCTTAATCTAGCGCAAATAAGGCATCTTTTCTTAAATTATTGATCTAGGTCCCATAGGTTTCTCTAATAAAAAATTATCCTTGACATAGACTTGTAATTTTTATTTCTAGCTCAATTTTTAGTTCTTAACTTTTACTAAAACTCAATGTACAGAAATAGTGTATTTACTCTTCAAGACTACAATGTTTAATTTTTTCGTAATTTGGATTATCTGTATTCATCGTATATCTGAATATGTCTCAATATACATTTTTTGTATTAAATCGGTTTACTCTTAGTCTGGCATTATATGTGTAGGTATGTTAATTAATAAAGGAAAGACAATTAAACATATTTTTTTGAAAACATATCGCGTGTATATACAGTGCTTTATTTTTTCTCAGGTTCAAGATGGCGTGTGAAAAATCTTACGTACAAAATCGCCAAGTATCCATCAAGACTAAATCGCGCCGAGGTAGACGCTGAGCTCGCTAAAGCCTTTTCCGTATGGTCAGATTATACGGATCTTACATTTACGCAGAAACGTTCCGGACAAGTCCATATTGAAATTAGGTAAGTATTACTAACGAATTTCGAAAAAGGGGAAGGCTCTCAACACGTCTGTATCTTTCGTTTGTGTGTACGTTACGCCGATATTTGTGAACCGATTTCGAAAATTCTTTTTTTTTTGGAAAAGGTAGTAGCAGTAGTAGTGGTGATGGTCCTATTAAAATTTTAAGAAAATAATCCACCTGTTAGTGTGGAAAATTAGGTGATGAGCCCGGCTTATTGAATTTCACTCACTTTCTTAGCAAATATGTAGATATAATTCCACAAATTTCTGACATCGGTTTTTTTTTAAAGTTACATATACTTTTTGATAATTAATAGTTTAATAATAATAACTTTTAATATTATTTAAAAGCCTTGTAGTAGTGAAAAGGTGAATGCAGTCGACTTAAAAAAAAAGTTTTCATTTTGACTGTATTTAACGTGAAAATTTTTGCGACTATATCTTTTTTAATTATTTAAACACTTATTTACTACCCATATATAACTTTGATTTAGATCAATTATAAAATTCTTAGATAGATAATTTATATAGATTAGTGATAAATAAATATATTTGAAGTCGGATTTTTGCCTCTATGCGATTTAAAATAAGTTTAGTTAGCTAACCACGAACAATATTCAAGGTTATCTAAGTTTTCGAGTATTTCGTAGGTACTGTATAATAATAGGGAGTATCGAATTGTGATAGTTGTTTTTTATTTCTATAGAAAGGTCGATGTGCGTACACAAAAGCTCTTTTCACGCCAAACGAAAACACAATGTTTAGTGTCCGTAATGAAATCGTGTTGTAAAACAGTTTGTAAAATGGAAAAAAATACGAAATAAGAAAAAAAATACATTTGCTTTTAACAATCAAATAGCAATTGGAAATTTTAAGTAAAGCGATTTCAACACTTATGGAAAACGTACTTTTATTTAACCCTTTTCAGTTTGAACTTTGTATACAAATTTAATTTGCAACTATACAAAATTCAATAAACGTGCGGAACGATCGACAAAAATGTTACATTTGACCTGCACGAAATTATACGCAATCTCTGCATTTATTAAATACATTGCGCCTTTATTTAATTCAGTAATGCGTTTTTCGTTACAATAACCAGTAATGTGTGTTGCGTGACATTTACAACCGTTTGTCATTAACGAGATTACCACGATATAACTCCTACAGTACTACATGCTACACGTACTGCACATTATGCAATTTACTACGGCATTATCCCATATTATGGGTTAGTGTGGGCTATATGATAACGTTACGCTGTTCAGGGGCAAAACTCTTGAGCTACCTATTTACTACGAAACTCTTTAATACGAGAATTGGTCACTCGATTTGTATTTTTGGTAGTTTAAAAAATTTTAAGGTACTCTTTGCACACTAAAAAAATCATTTTACTAAAAATCTGGAAGGAACAGTATGGGCAGACCACCCACAGGGTGGTACAACGACCTGGCCAGGGTTGCGGGAATCACCTGGATTGCAGCAAGAGCGGTCGTTGGTAGTCATATGTGCAGCAATGAACGTGTTCCACTCTTGATTCATTTATATAAATCAAAGAACATGACATTTTGAATCGAATTATGTAAATTATTTCTTTCCGTTAAAATTGTATCAAATACCGTTTATGCTGAAGGGTATAAAGTTTAGGTATTTTAATATCGTAGCATATTAATAAGAGCAAACACATTAATATCGTATAATAGGTATTGTATCTACATTATTTATGTTATCTATTTCTTCTAGGTTTGAAAAAGGAGAGCACGGGGACGGCGATCCTTTCGACGGCCCTGGCGGCACTCTTGCGCATGCTTACTTCCCTGTAAGTATTAATTCACACAACACGAAAAACTCTATTACAATGGTAGAGAACTCGTCGTATGTACCAGGAAACACGTCCGTGACAAATACATCCTTTAACCATTGATTCAAAATTGTATAAATTGTTACGTATTGCAGAAAAACTGGCGGATGTCACACATTATAATCTCAAATAGTGAAAGCAGTGTGACAATTGTTGTGTTATGACACAGATCGTGGTATAAAACAAAAATGTAATGTTTAGGTGTACGGCGGTGACGCTCACTTCGACGATGCTGAAACATGGACAATCAACTCTAAAAGAGGGACCAATCTGTTCCAGGTAAGTCATAGTGTAACATTCATCATCATTCTGCAGAATTAACTTAATTCGAAAATTGAAAATTACGGAAATAAAGCAGCTTGTAAGTTGTATTCTATAGGTGATTGGTGCCTGCGACTTTGTCTGCGTAGAATAAGAGTACCCTACTATACTACTTACTTGAGAAATGATTGATTCTCCTTACAAACTTTCATCCCATATTTCAGCCCCTTTAAGATTTGTTTTTGAGACAATAGGGCCTAAGTAGACACAGTATGTCCACCTCCTGGGTCCCATCTATCTCTATCATATCTCTATACCAAAATTCATCAATTGGTTCAGCGGTTTAGGCACGCAAATGTAACACACAGAGTTACTTTCGCATTTGTAATATTACTTTGGATAAATTAACTATCAAATTTTGGCTAAAGGTATTTTGTCATTGTTATTTTAAATGCAGCCAACCAACCTATTTTTTTCTGGTTAACTGGTAAAGAATGCGATATAGCATTAAGTCCTCCGTTTCCACTTTATTGTATGATGTGAAAACGTTTAAATAAACAAATAAATAAACTTACTTGACATACGTAACTCTACGATAACTTAACATCTTCATTCCATACTGTCTAGTTGGTCGGCTCCGGCTTTAACTACTCCTTAAGATCCGTGCCTAGCAGTGGGACACAATTATCTCAATATAGAGTCATGTGATAAAGTGTTCAAGTATCAATTTAACTCATATTACGCAAATTTGCAGGTAGCTGCTCACGAATTTGGTCATTCGCTAGGTTTGTCACACAGTGACATTCGCTCAGCTCTCATGGCCCCCTTCTACAGAGGTTATGACCCTAGCTTCCAGCTCGATCAGGATGATATCCAGGCTATACAGGTATGTATAGCAAAAATCTAAGAATAAGAACATACATAAGGACAATAACGACTCAGAAATGAGGATATCCCTAAAAGGACCAGAATAGCAGAAATAGCCCAAAGAATAACAAATTTAAATGGCAGTGAACGGAGCACATTGCCCGCAGAATAGATAACCGATGGAGCCAAAGGGCTCTCGTATGGCGATCGTGTACCGGTAGACGCAGCGTAGGCAGATCACAAAGTGGACCGATGACCTGGTTAGGGCGCGACAATCCGTTGGATGCAAGCGGCGCAAGATTGGTCGTTGCGGCGAGCTTTGGAGGAGGCCCAAGTGGACGTCTTTCGCTTGTATAGACGATTATGATTAAATTAATGAATGTTTACAAATTATCTCAAACTGGAGAAACTCATACCCTATATGTGTCAGAGCAACGCATTTCCATGCGTACTGGTTGCAACATCTAGACCAAAACTTATTCCAGATATGATATGACTAAAATGAGGCATTGTACTTCTCTTTATCAGCTTATAAAGAGCGTACGAGTACTACTGTCCGATATAGTCGGTTGTAGTACTATCAAATTACCACGATTTGTGACAGCGTGGTTCCGCTATTACCATGTGAACTAAAAGTCCTTCAACAACGGTCAGGTTCCTGAATTTTGGAAGTACCGATTGACCTAGACTTTATCACCACAACAACTATGTTAACATTGACTTAAATTTTGTAAATTTACGATTCCTATGGGAGTATAAAATCAACAAGTAATAGTATAGCCAGCGGTGTATTCGTATGCTGAAAGTATATAAATGCACACTAAATATTCTACCTTGGAAAAGATGTACGACGTCGCACCAATCCAAAACCAATTCGCGGTTGAAACAGCGGGGCCCTGGGGTTCGGATGCTCAGGACTTATCTAAAAAGTTGAGTCGCGGACTCTGATATAGGGGCTGCAATTACCACTCTGGGTTGTGATTGCTCAGTAGCCATTCAAAATAGGTAATGCTGCCAGTATAATGGGAACGGAATGAAGCCAAGCACGATACAGGGCGGGATGTTATGTTACAAATTTTTGATGAAATTTCTGGTATTAGTATCTATTTACGAAGTCTATTCCAGCTAAAAAAACATAGATTTACTATCTAAAAATAGTAAATTTATGATGTCTTATTAATATCTGTTTTTATTGAAGAAAGATTAATGATGGATTGTTATAAACCCCTGATTGCCCACTTTCAGGCGCTGTACGGGCACAAATCGCAAAATGACATTGGAGGTAATGTACCAACAGTACCAAGGGCCACAACTCAACAGCCTTCAGTTGAAGACCCTGCTCTCTGCGCTGATCCTAAATTCGACACCATCTTCAGCACTGCCACTGGCGAAACCTGTATATTCAAGGGTAAGTACGGACTTGACTGCCATCTTTTGCATGTGAGGATAGCGTGAAATGCTGTGTTACCTTGTTTATAAATAATGCTGACTTTTGTGAAAGGTGTCATTTTTCCAAGGACCATTTGAACAACCTCCTGCATTGTAATAAATAGGTATCTAACTTTTAAAGAGCCAAATGATTGATTTTTTATATAATTTTGATATTCGTTTTTGTCTTACTCTTAGTGGAGATGAATTAAAAAACAAGCTTCCTTTTATATAATTTATTTAATAATTATCATCCCTAAAGAGTAAAGGAGAATTTTTGCTGTTTTACCTTGCGAATGTGATTTAAAATTGCAATATTTTTAATGTAATATTAATTTCATTGAATATCACGAAGTTTTACTACCGTGATATTCAATTATTTCCGTGATTTTTTTTAGTTTAAAATAATCATTAATACAAAAATCGAACACTAAACAGTCGTTACAAACCAAAAAACAAAGATCTGCATCAAGCACATAGAGAAATTCGTGAAGTCTGCTGGTTCGTTCCTTAGCTCGGAGAGAGAGCCCGCCACAAATGTATAGCGAAATCGCCGGTTCTAGTCAAGCAGGGTCAAAGGAATTTTTCTTTGTGTTCAATCTTTGCATTAACATTTTTATTTTCATTGAGTATCGTCATGGTTTTACTACGATGATATTCATCTATTTTTTTGGAAAAATACTCCACTAGTTTCTCATTATTATTGACACGTGGTTATGTTGAAACAGTCGTTGGTTCGAGTACAATAGCGTTGAAGGAACTTTTCTTTGTGTTTGAGTCAATAAGGGTTTTGGATACCTATTTCAGGTGAACATTACTGGAAATTAACCGAGGATGGTGTAGCGGCTGGCTACCCTCGTCTCATATCACGAGCTTGGCCTGGTCTGCCTGGCAACATTGATGCAGCTTTTACTTATAAGAACGGCAAGACGTACTTCTTCAAGGGCTCGAAGTACTGGCGGTATAACGGACAGAAGATGGACGGGGATTATCCTAAGGAAATTAGCGAAGGTACGTAATCCGTAGTACATAGTAAAATAATGAAACTTTGAAAATATATGAATATTGTATAAACTTTTTCAGTAAGTTGACGTAATGCAAAACTAAAATTAATACATGTCGAAACTTATAAATACATAAAATAAATAATAAATAACGCACACACTCAACATAGCCCCGCACTAGGGAAACCCTGTGTCGTGGGTGCCATGGACACACACATAGACAACTACAAATTGCACCCAAACTCACAACACAAATAAATGTAGGCCATACAAATATTTCTCCCGGCCCGGGAATCGAACCTGGGACCTCGCGTGGTAATCCGGCATGGTAACCGTTGGGTCACGGAGGCAGTTACATTTTTAAACTTTTAAACAAGTTTACTTATCTTTGTATTGTACAAAAGCCGTAATATCAATAAATGTACATTATAAGCTTCTAAAGGCATTCAAGTAGCTATAGAAGGAATAACATCATCATAATATTCTAAGCGAAAACTAAAAGAAAAACGTCGACTTTGTTTGTGATGGTCATAGTTATTATAGGGTCAATGTCGGCACACGTACTGCGTGATTAATAATTCTGACCCAGTTTCTTACACAATAAGCCTTTACTTTCTTTGTCAAGAAGAATTTTTATTCCCCAAATCCCTTTTACACTAATCGTGTTTTGGCATTAAAATTAACATCTATGGACAAAAAACTCGCTTTAGCCACCGCATTTTAGTATAAACAATTATGGCTTCATAATTTCTGCGCTTTAATATGAATGAAAACGGTCCAAAAACCTACCCTTGAAGAGCTCCTCATTTTAGTATAACCTACTCGGGCAATTTCAGTTTATTACGAGAGAGTCATGATTATAGACTCCCTCCCTAAAGAACAATCGTCTCCAGCAGCTTCATGACTTTATACAGTGCAGTGTATTTATCTTGTTAAACAATGTTGTGTTTTCTTGCAGGTTTCACTGGTATTCCAGATAACATAGACGCGGCGTTGGTCTGGTCTGGTAATGGCAAGATTTACTTCTACAAAGGCTCCAAATTCTGGAGGTTTGACCCTGCTCAAAGGCCTCCGGTTAAGGCGACGTATCCCAAAGCATTATCTGACTGGGCGGGCATTCCGGACAATGTCGATGCTGCTTTGCAATATACCAACGGATACACATACTTCTTCAAAGGAGGCTCTTATTGGCGGTTTAATGATAGAACCTTCAGTGTAAGTACTCAATTTAGTGCTTTCATCTATAAATTGAACCTTGAATTTTGCTATCGTGAATGGTGTTCGAAATTCAAGGTTGCGTATTGTGTCCTTGGTTGGCTAGAAATAAATTTCCATTATTCAGAAAATAGTACATGAATTGGTATCCTTGATTCCAATTCTTGCTCTAAGTGGATAAGAATAGGTATCAATTGACTACATAATGCCATGTCTAAGGAGTACAGAAGCACTTTTAGTAATACGTAATTAAAACTTGCTTCTATATAATTGTTATTTAATATATAATCTTAAAGGTGGACGTTGACAACCCTGCGTTCCCTCGCTCAACGGCATACTGGTGGTTAGGCTGTACGAGCGCACCTCGAGGCACTGTTGGAGGTAACGCCAAACTTACCGCAACTTCATCGCCAGCTGATGATGACGTCGGCGACATCCTATTCGACGCAGGTATGCGCCCAGAAGGCACTGTCAGAAGGCTCTGGGGACTAGTTGAACCAAGTATTTAGGACATAGAAAGTAAAGACAAAACTTTTCTAAGATTGAACATTTTGGAAACTTGCCTAATGAAATTTTCAATGGAGCAAAAATAATAAGGAGCTTGAAAAGCTTTTAAATATTGGAACTATGTGATTCTGTTAGTAAAGTTAGTGGTTAATATTATAGTGGCGCAATGTCATAGAGCTAAATGATTTCGGAATATCGATGATGCAAAAAATAAGTATTAAATATGCGCCTTATTTTCATCCAATATGATTCAGAGAGAACTGAAACATGGCCTCATAGCTACCTACTCAATATTTTATAAAAATATTTGGTTCACATGTCCTGAAAAGAAAAACAAACAGTTACAGTGAAATGAATAGAGCCGTTTGTGACCTACTCTGTCAAGTCGTCGACCACTGCCGGCTCCACAATTACCAAATACATCTTCGCTATTGTGTTCTGTCTTTTATGTTTATCTCGTTATATCCTAGTTCTATTCTCTCTTTTGTGTTATGTTCTCATTCTGTCACATTTTATACTATTTGATTTCTTGTTTTGTTTTGTCTTCATATTTTCTTTGTTTTATACATCTTTTATTTTGTTTGTATGTGTTATTGTCTGTTTTTATTTAATATTTATCTTTTTGTTTTCATTTCATTTTTATCATAACTTTTTCAGAAACTAATAAATTGGGTGTCGTGCCTTCACATTTTTTATTAACATTAATTAATTTGATTGCTAACAACTAACTTTTATAAGTGTTCTTCCACTAACCAGCCGTTTACAGAATTACTTTACTAACTTTAATCAATTCCTATTGAATTAACAGGGATAATGATGTTAACGAAACGCTTTATGATACTAAGAAAGCATGTGATGGCTTCTGTTACCGACGAGGAAGCAGTGATGGACGGTGGACGGTCACCACTAGACGACAATGGCTTTTGGGCGCCTCTACCTGCTATGTTTTGAGAATAACTTGTACCTTGAAACATACCATTTTAAAAGAAAACAAATAACATTAAAAGCTTTAAATAGTTTATTTCTAAGATCGCTAAGTAACATGGTACAAGTTGTTACCACAACGCAATATAGCATTATTTTTTAAATATTCACCAAAAATTTTATTAATATATGAAATTTTTCACATAAGTCTGCTTACGTAATGATCACAGTACTTATAAAGCAATACAAGTGTGAATAGTCACTGATAAAAACACTATGGGGTACTTCCTATACTTAAGAAGCTGAAAGAATATGTTGTACCCCAGACAATGTATGTGTAGTGCACTAGATAAGTACAAGTAAATGTTATTGACACATATAATTACAGCACCTAGTTTTAAACAATTTGTTTTATCCACCTCCAACATGAACAAATACAAACTTCAGGTGCTTGGGACATGTTCACGTTTCGATGTGTGTGTTGTGTTTTATTTTCTAGGTGTAAAATCATCCGCTCCCAGATCATTCTTCTGGTTCAGGAAATAAACTTGGAGGAGTTCCTGAACATTGTACATAGAAAAATATTAAAGAACAAAGACTCAATTAGTAACATAGGAGAATATATGCGAATACCAGTGAGATTATAGACATAAGCGGTGATTTTAGTACCGGCGAGCTTGTCACGCGTTGTCTGTACGTTTTAATTCGTTCCACATATGCATGTACTTACTTGGTGTGGGTTAGCTTTGAGCTTCATATTTGGACTAACGCTAGCGGGCAGAATTGGTTTGCAATCTCTTGGATTTTGCATGAAGGTAAGCGCTTTTTGGGGATGACCTTGGATTGGAAGAAAACCACATTTGGAAAAGTTTTGCAATTTTGTTATCATATTTTTTGTTAAGTAATGAAACGTAAACTACCAGATTTTTTTCATTTCCGATTGTGATTTTCTTTTATTGTGGTATTATTAGGTAATAAACATTTTTTTACACTATATCATCAATCACAATTTATTTATCAAACATGACACATTCTTAAAGCACATTTTATGATTAAAGATCTTATAGGACCTCTAATTTCACAATTTTCTTTTATATCGATTCATTCCTATCGATGTTCACGGAAACTAAACAAACAATTAAATGGGGTTTATAACTGAGAATGAAATTTCTAGATAAGGTGAAACATAAGATACGGGTAATCGTGTTGGATATATAGAGCAATTCAACAATTATCGGAAGACGCGGGATTCGTACTACGTAAGAAATGCTGTGCTCTAACGAATTGCACTTTACACGTTTTAAAACGAAATTTAGCACTCAATTTATGAATCTAATTCCAAATACACAGAAGCCACGTTTTATAAGAGCACGTTTCTTTCAATAAACATTACATCTTACCTTTTGTACATAAGTGTCTGCTGGTACAGACAGCCTTCTCTGAAATTAATTGAACCGTTACTTGAATATAATAAAACACGATATCAACGCCTTTCACGTAGATATACGTTTGTATTACATGGGGATTAGATATATACATATATTCCATAGATTAGCTATGATGTTAGTGATATAGTCCTGGGAGGTTGTTAGTATATTACAAATAACTCTGTTTAAACTATTGCATAGTAGAATAAAAGGTAGTTAACTAACTTAACGTAATACACATAATATTTTTAAATAACACAGATAGATTTTACTGCGCCTGTGGAATGCGTAATTAATAATAATGAAATTTTGAGTTGTTATTGAATATTTCGAGTTATTTTGTAACTAACAGAAATAGGATTAGAGAGCATGAATTCACAAAAATACCTAATTTAAAAAAAAATAATGATTTTTATTGAAAATTAAAGAGCTGTTTATTTATATTAAAAGTTTGGCTGTACATATAAAAATAATTATTTCTTATGTTGTGGTATGTTAAGGGACAATAAAGAAGCATGGTGTTTTGAAAAGTTTGTATAGAAATAGAAATTTAGATTATCTGGAAGCACGTTTGAACAAAACGCCAGCAGTAATTCATGAATATGATCATGACGGTTCACGTATAAACACATAAATTTCGGCGGCTAAATTTGAAAACCGTGTCACGCCGTTTTTGGATGAAATCCATTTTTTACTCTTCAAGGGCAATATCGGGCAATCATAGCTTAAAATATATATTGTAGACCCTTTTTTAGTTACAAAGTAAAGGTATAATCATAGATTGTCATATAATGATTTCTTGTAATTCTGTTTTTTGTGCCTACTTAATAGTTCACATCAATGACGGTTACGAGGTTTACGAATTTAGCCGACGACGTATGTCCGTAGAGTATATTTTTTTCAGGGTTCGAAGTGAGAATTATCATTGATAATGTATTCATGAATTTCATTGATATAATATCACGAATATTTCATTAATATTCATGATAATTACCACTATAATTGTTTTGATAAATATACTTTGATATTTACCTTCATATATATAAAGTAATATGGAATAATAAAACGGTATTGTTAGCAATGCCGTGCCATGTATTTGTTAAGAGACGTATGCAAACAAGTCACAAACTCGTTTTCCCAAAGATTTACTTCGTATTTACTAGTTTTCTCACTGTTTTAATTGTACGTTAAATTTTTTGTCAAAAATTAAAGTCAGAACTATGGAATCAACATAGATAATTATCATGATAATTATCAAAGAAAATAAATTTCTTTATCATTTCGAACCCTGATATTTTTCGAAAAATAGTTATTTTACTCACGTATGAAATGTCACCCGCTAACGAATTGAATTGCTGCTGAAAAAAAAAATATTGTAGAGTAGTTGCACTGTGGTTTTCGGTTACGATGTATAGTTTCGGTAGCTAAAGGCGAGTTATGTTTCAGTGGTCAACATACAGTCGGGCGGTGCCAGACTGTAACTATTCCGTGGCTCCGAGCCGCTTCATTTGTTAGGAGGCGTACGTCCTCCGCCGCGACACCTTTCACCCGCATTTGTACGTTTCTTTTGCTCCCATTTTTGTTTCGCATTATAAAGGTATATTTAATTTAAATAGGACTTTTAAAATATTCTATCATTGGTATTTCTATAGACTACAATTAGGTCAAAACCATAGAGATACAGGGCTGAAAAATAAATAACCTGACATTATTTTTGTGTTTTATAAACAGTTTGAGTTCATATCTAGCTTCTTTTTGCATGTAAACTTATAGAAGTATCAATATTAGTGTATCAACAAGCTTAAGTGCCATTTCATTTTGTCTCTCGTTTTGCTATTTATCACAAATTCGCAATGTGACGCTGTTTACTCGTTAAATGTTTCAACCTTGTGTATTATCCAAATTTCACAACTGTAGGTAACACAAATACACTACGCACATTGCACTTTGATTTTAATTAGAATTTGTTGTAAATTAATGATCTTACTTGACAGATGTGGTTCAAGAAACAGGCGGCTCGGGGAAAAGAAACAGCGCAATGAGAACGCGGTCGCCGCTAGTACGTGCTCTGATAACGTTGGCCGTGTTGCTGTGCTGGAGAGTTTAGCGCCCCCGTGGCCACCGTCTTCGTAGCTAGTATCTAGAGGTGGCGGCCATAAATAGCCCCCACTGGTTCGGGAGTACCAGCCATGTCGAGCCCCGCGTCACCGACTGTGATCGTGTGTTGAGTGCCTGTCGCGTTCGGTATATTGTGTATAGCGAACGCCTTGCTGTGATGATGAATGTGTCCTATTATACTATTGCGCGAACGATAATTTAATGCGAAGTCATAGTTTTTATACCTATTATAAATAGATGATGTAAGTACGAGTGTGATATTGAAGTAAGCAATGATTTTTGTATTAAAATATTTAAACTACTCTTGCTAATTTTATTTAAAGTAGACACTTTACTGACACACACTCTTGTTAACCTTTTAAATTAGCATGAGATTGGGAGAAATAATAGTCAGTTTTAATTTTTAATTTGTTTATTTAACGTTTTTCTGGTTCTCCAATAATTCCTCTTAAGTTAGTAATTACAATGTTATATGACAATATTTCGTTTTTATTTCATTTTCATAAACGTATTTTTTAATAAACATCTCCACAATTCATCATAACACGGTCGTGCGACCTACTGTCTCAATCGTTCTAACTCTTAGGAAAATGCAAATAATATTAAATTTCAAAATCTGTCTACGATTATCCGAACGTGATTAATCTTACTTCGAGTGGAACAATGTGGCTACATGCGACGCGGATCCGAGCACGGCAGGCGGCGGTTCGCAATAATCATCAACAATCGGCAACGGTGCATTATACTTGCCATCTGCCGTGCCGCGCGCCGCACTCTTACCTGGGTAATAATCACTTAGAAGGCGTAACATAGGACTTATTAAGTTATTACACGACCACTACTCGAGAAACACCTACGACACATCCTAGATCATATCAATATATCGGAGCCCGCGTGCTGTGGCAGTGTGCGCCCGGCGAATGCGCTCGACGACTTTTGCTTACGGTTGTAATTAAGTATAACTTTAATGATTTAAGATTTTACACTACACTACCTCTCTCACTAGATTTAGGCAATTTTAATGATATAATCGTAGAGTTTAAAATTATCTCCAAGCAGTCCTGTGGACAGATCGACGATGTTTATAGTAAAGTACAATTTTCTTCAACGTGCAATTTAAGTAAGTTTATAAAATTATTTAACTTTCAATTTTGCTCAGATAGAGTGCTGTATAAATTGTTGTGGAGATACATAATATATTTATATGATCTAGAACAAACTGGAAATAAATGAAGGCAACGCGATTTTCGGGCGTAGTTCGCTCGGGACTCTGATATATAAAGTGGAGGGGTACACCAACCACGCGTGAGTCGGAAGTGGTGATACGTACAAAAATGTGGACCGCGTCACGGAAAAACTAAATCAACGGCTACGAGTCTCCTAATTCCAACATAACACTGTCAAATCAACACAAAACATTTATATTTAATGGAAATACTCTAATTACATACATTATATTTATACTAATTTATGAACAGACACTTCAATAAACGAATTACGTCTCAGCGATTTAGAAAAATCTGGCAGTAATCGTAATAACTATTTGTAAAGGCGTACCTACATACAATTATAACTATTTTTAGAGATTTGTTGTACCTTTGTTATAATGAATCTGCTGTAGTAAAACACTCACTATCACAATTTTCAGAGGTCTGTTCTATGAGGTTTCGACCTCCATACAACAGTTGGTAAGGCAAACAAATAAATTACATCTAATCCGGCTTAACGATATCAATAATACCAATCACGTTATTAAAGTAATTTATATCTCGACACCACATCAAAACGTTACAGAAAAATGTCAAATAGAAAATAGATTTTCCTAAACGGCTGTGACAGACACGCAATAATTTTGCAATTCATTATTTTATTGGATCACATACAAAGTAACGTAATTACCATCTAATCAACACTAATAACGTATAAAGAGAAACTTTCGGGGTTGAAAAAAGTAGCCAATACAACGTATCAATTTATTATACTTATTAGTTATGCTCAGATTCTTCATAAGACTTTTTAACATATATCAATTGTATCTTATGTTACTAATCACCTTGCCCCTAAATATTGAAGGCCATATTTTACTATTGTGTATTTTCATATACCTCACCACGTAAAACGGAATAAAACCAAGAATTCAAAAACTCAAATAACAAATTTCTCTCAATACAGGCAGCAACACGAGTAATGTTACAGCTAATTCATAAAACACTATTGTTATTATTGCTTCAAGTGTAGACATGCAAATGATGCTGCTGACTGTATCTATACATACATCACATACTAAAAATAAGATAACTGACTCAACGTTACAATCGAAATAAAGCAATATGTTAAAAGGAATTATGTGAAATAGAGATTTTCCCCTTTCGTTGTCTTTCAAAGTTCGGGATGGTACTAAAAAGGGAGCATATTTTAGTAGTATTATTGCATTGTCACTGCCACCCCTTCAAGTACCACCCCTGAACCCTGGCTTACATTATACGTAACGTATCATCAAGTTTATGGCAGTCAGATAAACAAGTGCCGTATTAAATAAAGTATATAACATGAACATGGTCGTGTACATGTTTGGCTATAGACATTAACTATTAGATAATTAATACTTTGTATGCAGAAGGCTACGACTTGGTGTTTTCCTTACATTTATTACGCTATGTTAACGGAATAATGACATTTATATCTACATTGGAGTACCATTATACTGATAGTTGGACTACCCCGAAAGCGACCTCTCAAGATGTTTGTGCGTGCGTGTGACAGTCGATCGAATCGCTGTTCAACCCTTGTGACAGACGTAGGGGTGGGTCGGACAGCTACTATATTGGCTAATGGATTCTTGGCCATATTCCTTATTCTACTTAACGAAATTTATTAGAATAAGCCACGTGCTGTCCCATAAATAAAACAACCGTGTATTAGAAAAACAAATTAAAAAGAACAAAAAGTGAAGTTGGGTTTAGAATAAAATTATATGAGTAACTAGAATCTGGCAGCAGACGGATTGCTGAAATTCCTACGTCCATACTCCTAAAAGTACTTTCCCAGTTACAGTTTTACAGCTAAATACATAAATTTTACTGCTTTACATAATCAGCTTTCTCTTTATTTGTGCGTTAAACATTTACACGTTATTTATGTACATCAAAACATACGTATATTATTCAAAAACATAATACACACTATCACCAAACGTCCAACGAAACATTTAAATACACCCGTAATTCTAACCTACAGAGAAGGGCCATGTTTCGCAGGGGTGAGGTCATCACGTTTGCCACCTCAGAATTGATAATTTTCCTATTTTAATTTCATTCTTTGTTATACTAACTATTTAAAAGGACTTGAAGTCGAAGCAAGGACTGATGCTTACATTTTTTTTTCAGCTTTACTCAAAAGAAACCGTCCATATGAACGGATCGGTGTCATTCTCGTATAGACCATAATTGCAGGAAAAAATCTAGATTTAATTGCACGTTTTCTAGAGTTTTTGGTAAAGTTTTATCACATTAGAAGGTTACTTTCAAAGTTTTAAATGTCACTGAAGTAGCAAGGCGTGGTGAAGAAGAGAGACGGTATCCACCCCTAACGCAAGAGTGCATCTACCGGCTGACTCAAACGACTCATGGATAACTTGTGAAAACTACACGATTATCAGTTATTCACTACGTATTATTGCTAACTTTGTGTCCCTACGAAATTAACGCTCGTAAACAAACTGTATATTAGTGATCACGATGATTTAAATATGTAAAGCATATTTGCAGCTTTGAAAATTTAGAATTACTCTTGTCTATACGAAGTGACAAAATACGCAATGAAAGGGTTGTCGTATTTAAAAAAATAGCGTATTGTATGTAACATTCGAACCGAACTCCTCTCCTTTGGTCTTTTAATATCTACTCTAGAATAGAATAGTGAACAAGTGAAGATACAAGTATCAAGAGTGAGAGCAGAAACGTCCAAAAAGAAGGAACGTACGGTCAATGTGTAAGTTTTAACGAGTGCTCGAAATTGTTCCAATAAATTTTATGCTCTAGTAATTCATTCTCTATTACTAAGTTTTAGACACCTTGATATTAATTTCATACATACATTAAGATGTTTTGAGAATACAAAAACGTTCCGGAGCTGCTTATTGTGTATACTATTTATTGAAATCCTTGATAACAAATGAACGTTAAACATAGAACGTTTGTTAGGATCTTTATTATACATAATGATTATCCATGAGTTTACTTTTATTACCGCAAGTTCGAATTCATTGGTACGATAGGTAAACAATCGACTTTGAATATTATCGTAAAGAAGTCGCACCCTAATATACTACTTTAAATTCTCTTGAAGAGACTACTCATCAACATTTTTTACCCATTGAGATACACCCTAATTTTCTTTTCATGGTTAATTCAATAACATGAGAGTATCTAAAAAATTAGGCTGAGTTTATATAGAAGAAATTTGAGACTGGGCAATGGCTTGGGTACCGAAAATAATAATAATAATAACGAACACATTCATAGGCCCGTGATAGGGAAACCCTGTATCGCGGATGCACTTAAAACTCATGAGAGAAATAAATGTAGGCCATACAAATATTTCTCCCGGCCCGGGAATCGAATTCGGGACCTCTGCGGGACAGAACAGCATGCTAACCGTTCGTCTACGGGGGCAGTAAAAAAATTAAAAAGTAGTTAAGCAACCACTTGTTAACCCGTTCAATGACAGTAACGGCGTTTCCCGTAAAATTAAATATCAGAACAATAGTACGGGGTATCAGAACAAAACTACGGTCAATGCAGTACGATTTCAAAGTGCTTTCTGTGTAGTTGCTGCCTACTACTTCTCCATAGAGAAGTATCAACAACGTACTGACAAAATTAAATGATATACATTGTACACTTATTGAATTACTATAACCACTATGGCAATAAAAGTGGTGACATTTTTGTGTGTGGTACTATGGAATTACTGTCCATGATTAGTCATCCCGCTTTTCATGATCTTTTGGGAGATTTTTACTGATAAAATGCTCAAATAAGTTTTATACCAGTTTTGTTTGCGCGTTTCTATTTGTTACGTTTCTACAGTATAAATTATCTTAAAACGTATAATGACGTCTCTGTATTTGGTAAGTAAATAAGCCTTTCTCATTCATGCTCACTCAAAGTTTCTTCTATACTATGTCGCCTTACATAAAAGTTCATTGCTTACTCGGATGGAACGATTCTAATAAAGCAATACCCTTGTAGTGTCATGCTTTCACTTTAGGAAAGTGAAGGCACTAAGGATCACGAGTATTTTCGGTTGAAACAATAAAGACACACGGATTTGTCATGTTATAAATAACATATAAAATTATTCTATGTTACTGAATCCGTAAGAGAAATGTTTCCTTGAATTTTTCTTATAATAGGTGTCTAAATGTATGTATTTGAATGATTTTTTTAAATGATATGGCGCTTGGATCTCGGTACTGGGGTAACTGAGCTGTATGTAATTTATGTTTGTACAGCATTACAGGCACTGTACGGACCGGGGCGAAATAACTAATAATGTCCTAAGAAGCTTTAATAGACCTTTAGCACCTTCGGTGACTTTAAGAATGGTAGTGAAAACAACAAACGTTTGATATTATGTACACGATAAAAACGTAAAAAATAACTTACTTAATATTATTATCATTTATCATTGATTACAACAACTACATCCCCGCGTGAGGACAATATTCTCAACAAATGTCCATTCAATAGTCTTAATAACCATTAATTATAATTTTTTTTTGTTTTGATCACATAATGTTCAACGACACCTATAATATTTTTCAAAAATAAAAACGAACTAACAAATATTGTTACCTATACTTGAGAACGATTATACCACGTTGAAGGTTGCTTTACCATTATCATATATTCGACACGATATACATATACAATAATATATATATTAAAAATCAATTCATATAAAAATCATTTTCAACCATGTTCTGTAATATATTGATGATACTTCATAAGACGGATATATTACATATAATTTTCATTATATGCAGTCACTTTTAATTCTTACAAAACAACAACTACGTTTAATTAATCCTATATTACTTTAGTCAATATCATAGACCAGCTATTTAGGCTTCCGCGGGCAGGGGTGAGGTGCGCGACAGGGCGAAGGGGGCTGTAGCAGCCCTTCGACTCGCGATCGCCCACGTGAATAAGGTACACTTGTACGGAGATAGTACAGCTCTATCTACGAAAATTAAGTAGACAAATGTAATAACTAGTTTGTTATATAAACAAATATGAGATAATTATCATGATAATTATAGAAATTATCATGATGTTACATCTTGATAATTTCAAACCCTGTTTATAAAAAAATGTAAAGAATTATGAAAAAATAAAATGACTGCCGAATTATTCTTCCGTTTTTGTAGGACGATGTCAACTTCGTTTTTTACTTATTTCAGAGGTGATATTGCTTATTAAATATCGACCACTGATAATAACAAATTGTCCCCGCCCCGCACACTCGACTCTATAGCCCAATATGTAATGCAACGTTATAAAAATAATTCTCTAAGATCGCTTGCAATTCATAAATCTTACATTTCGTTGTGAGAAAAAGGGGTAACTCCATTATTTTAATTTTCCAAACATTTTAAATTACATCAGAAATAGCGTTCACATTTGAAGGGTTTAGAAAAAGAAGTAACTGTCAGTTCTTTTATTTTTAATATAATTGAGGTTATTTTCAATATTTTACTTCATTTTAACATGAATATCATAAATCTATATATATACGTACATTGAAAGTAAACTATAATATAAGAAGTTCTTTAGAAGTTTTCAAGGCTTTTAGATTTATGTCAGTGTTAAAAAAGTACTGTAGGTAATATATGTATATAATCGTCTGTCACGTTGCTTTGTTTACTGTGACTTAAAATACATATTTAATGATCGATTACAATAAATCGCATAGTAACAAGTTATTTAATTCTGAAATTATATATATGTAACAGAGCTAATTAATTCCGTACCTGAGAAGTGACTTGGAAGTGCAATTTTTGTAATTTTACAGATGATGCGATTTTGTGTCGAAATGCAGCATGTACAATACCCTAATTGGCGTATAAACTGCTTTTCTGCGTATAAATTTTAAAAATCGCTTCCCCGTAAAATAAAAGAAAAACGGCGCTTACAGTGTAATGCTTCTCAGGTACGGAATTAAGTTAATATTTTGACATCATTTATGATGCAATTATGTGAATTTCCTCTTTTTCTCCAAAAACGATCAAACATTGCACTATTTGAACTGTGTCGGTGATACAAATGATATACGTACACACAGATATTATTGCGTCATGAGTTACGGTCAGTGCGTACAAAAGGAATATCAACAGTATCGTCATTCAATCCCTAACACAAAGTACTCGTCGCGAAATTTGCTTATTTACATTGACTCCACGTGAACATTCTTCATAACGAATTTTCGCCAACGTTTCGTGTAAAATATTGCTTCTATAGATCTATAGCAAAAATAAGTCAAAGTTGTGTGCCTATGAACGATTTAACCTGTACGTAAAACACTATGTAAAATATAGGACATCAAATATCTTCACAAACTTAATTTTTCCACATAGTGCCAAAAATATTAAACATACTGGCCGGAACGTCGGCTAACAGCTTACGAGGTAAAATGTGATATTTTTTCGGGAACATTGGTGTTTCTATTTTCGGGTGTATCGAACAATCGGACACAAATATAACTTACACACTATGCCTCCGCTGGCCTCGCGGCGCCGACGCGGCCGCTGCGCCGTCGCCGCGAGCCACGGGATCATCGAACTCGAAATCGCGCATAATTTATTATCATAAGTACAGCACTAATAGAAGTTCCGATCGTAGTCCGGCGATCGCATGGCGAGTGAGTGCGACGCACGTTAACGTAAAACTATAACCTCGAGTTGCGCACATTCACTAGAGGCGTGGGCACTGTCCAGTGGGTCCGTGGCGCGCGGGCGCCGGAGAGCGCGAGCACGAGCAGCGCGGAGGCCGCTATGAGGTGGGGGCTGGCGGGGGGTGAGCGGTGCACGCGGGAGGGCGCCTGGTACGGTACGGCGCAGGTAGGCACGCGCTCCTCCACGGGCTTGCACTGCTCGTTGGAAGGCAGCTGTGGCTCGCTCAGTCGCGTCTCGCACTGGTAGCACAGCCGGTTCTCGCAGTACCAGTAGCAACATTCGTCCTGCCCGTAGTTGGACTTGTTGGCTTGTTCACCTGTCTCTGGTATTCGTGCGTCTGAAAAACGATGTACATTGCAATTAACTATTTCTACACAAATTTAAGCTATTAAAGAATTGATGTAGGAAATATATAGGAAAACGATTTCCTTTTATTTTCCGAAATGATCAAATGTCGTGAATACGTGCCAGCTTTATGTGGCGGCGGCGAGACAAACTGTTAAGGCGTAGATTAAAAGGCTAGGAGCAACAATTGGTCTAAGAGAAAAAGTAAGTGGCTACATAAAAAGAAACAAAGCTGTGTAGCGCAGCGCAATTTGTTGTACGCCTCCGGATTTGAAACGTGGCCAAGACGTGATGAAAAGCTAATCGCGTTTGATTTGTCCGCGTTCTCCAATGTGCATAAAACAGCTGCATAGCTGCACCTTATAAACTCTAGATAGAGTCAGCTATATGAAGTAAAATATTCATTTATAAGCTGTTGAGTTGTGAGGTAATCTCAAAGGAAACGAACATCCTATTGAAAATATTATTGTACTGTGTTATCCGCAACAACAAACATCGAATAATACGTAATAGATAATTATTTATTTTCTTGTAGATAACAAAAGTGTATACATGCAAATACCAAACGAAAACTCACCAAGGCATAAGAAAGTGGGCTCGCCAGCGTATTGCGTAGGATAGGCGGGTGCACGGTCCGCCGGCAGGAAGTAGGGGCAGTGTTGCTCGACGAGCTGGCACACGGAAAGGCAGGGTTTGAGGCGAGCCAAGGGCCGGCCGGGCCCAGCGGCTGCGGCGCGAACCCAGCGGCCCACCACGCCGCCGCCGCGCCGCCGATCCAGGTGGCCCACGCGTTCCAGGTGTCGCGCGCGCCAATGTGCCGTATGCTCAGCAGGCGCGCGTCGAGACCGCGCCTCCCGCCCCTCGTCCTCTTCCGCCCCCTCCTCCACCCATAATGGCACCATCGTGCTGCACGCCCACCGACGATACGTTTCCTGAAAAGTTGAAATGTAAACATGCATTTCATTGGTCGTCACATAAAAACATGGATAAACATCTCTTGTGGTTGGTTGAACTTTTTGCTCTTGATTAATTGATAAATTGCGTACATTGAAACCTCTCGGATAATTACTTCTACTTAAATGCTATTTAGCTCTGATAAATCGGGGAAATGGTTAGTTATCTAATGGACGATATATTCATCTACGCAAGAGTAAGTAAGAAAACACCAAAAGATTTGCGTGAGAACTCCCATCACGAAGGGAATAACGTTGAACACGGGAGGTCTCACAATGCGTGTGATGGCGACCCTTCTCACTTTTATCGTGCCTCAGCATTTTTCACTCCCGCAGGAAATCACGCGCCACGGGCTGTGATTAATTAGTTATAACGCTGGAGCCTGGCAGTGGTTCGTGTGCCTCGAAAACACCAACAATAAGCTTGCGGATAAAACGACATGTATTTATTACTTGTATAATTTTATTGGGATTATTTTTGATTGCTGCAATTTGCGAATTAATGTTTTAATTGTCACTCTCTGACCGTTGTTAGAGAGCATCGAGAATATAACAAGAAATGGATACGAAATAAGAGCCATCCATCCCTGGCAACACATCAGTCAAATGGTACTGATATCATTTTTAAATATTAACTTTCGTTTGCGCTAAAGTCACAAATTAGAAAACTGATATAGTGCAGCGCCTGACTGACCTGTATATACGTCTCCGTATATTCCAAAAATATTCTGTATTTATTGTAATAAAGATAATATCTCTAACCATGGCGGGGCTATTCCATTCGGTGGTGTGGGAAAATAGCAAAACATCTAATTACAAAACAAACCGAATCACATTATAATTAAAGATTAAATTATGCAATTTTTCAATTTTCTTTCATTATAGTAAAGCTCACGTTAAACTGGTCGATTTGAAGTGAAATAATTGACGACCCCCATCAATTGTTTTGAATTTGGGCTAGTCCATCGGAGCGCAGTTGTCACCGTAATGATTAAGCAGAATAGTTTTCAAACAAATTAAATAACATTTCGTCTCTATTTCTGGGTAGATACTCGATGTGACAATGAAAACATTATTTTTCTAATTCCAAAACATTATCGATGAAATCAGCCTTTCACGTAACAAATAATAAACAATAATTTGAATAAAATTTTGTTTCAAATACACCTTTGCAATATATGCTCATTATCAGTCCGTTAAATCGCATATGAAACCAAATACCGTCATAACTCAAAATTAAGGAATTTAGAAGACGCAATTAAGTTCAAAATATTGTTGAATGAAACTAATAAATAAATATAATCTCGTTTATAAATGGATAACTAAATATTATGACTATAAATAAAAGTAATCACAGTATTAACAATAACACCCATTCAGTATTTTTATTTTCTCAATTTTGAGTTACAATAGTATTTGTTTCATGTGCGAAATATAGAGAAAAATCAGTTTATTATTATTTTTTCCTATCTAAATCTCGTATATTTGCTTTTCAAACAAACTAACATTCCGTGTCCTTAACAGATCCGATGGTCACAGCTGACTGAGATGGTAAAGTCATCAACCAGTTATGACTAATATTAATGCAATTAAACCACCCCATTTTTCACTATTGTTACAAAAGTTATTAATTAAATACGTTATTTTTGAATATTTCAAAGATACATAACAATTTACGCTACATCCTTGTTTTACAAATTAATTTTATTTTAACAATGTATATTTTTATTAAATTTTATTTTATTATTACTTAATAATGGTAATTGGAATCAATTAAAAACATATAATTAGTACTGCAGTCTTATGTTTGCTTCGAATTTTTCATCAGAAGAAATACTGGATCCTAGACTGGTGTTACGGAGAAACCGTCTGCCCTGTTGAAATTAGGATTTTTTTTTTAATTTCAATGGCCTCTTCCTGGGTAGATAACGGATTTCTTTTGCAAGACTTCTTTTGATTTTGTTTGAAAAAACAAATATAGGCGATTGAGATCCGAAAAAATACTTTCATTTTCTATGTGTGATTATTGCGAAAACCGAAGAACTCGATAAGTTAAATTAAAATTAATTATTAAAAAATTAATTACAGTAAAATTATTTAGGTGCGCAAAAAGAGCCTCCCCACACGACGTACCTTTTGTCTACGTCTGGTGCAACCTGGACAACAATCGGACGCAATACCCACATCGCTTGACAAGCACGATGACAAGCATTACAAGTGTATGCTATCGATACGATAGGAAGAAAAAGAAGTTTATACTAGAGATGCCGCGAATAGTGATTTGGCCGAATATCGAATACCTAATATTCGGCCACGCTCTCAGCCAAAGCGCCGAATATTCGGCTGCCGAATGTTCTGTACGTTTCACGCGCGACTTGTTACGACCTGTCTCAATGCGCTGCGTGCGATGGTAACGCGAGTACGGTGTTTTTGTTGAAAAATTGTAAAACGATAGAATCAATACATGACAGTTTCTGGACCTGTTTTGAAGAAGTCGCTACAGATAATATGTAAAATGATGACGATGTGGAGAAAAGTTCTATTGCACATGAGATTGATCTTTGTTTGAAAACTGTTTGCCTAGATCGGACGGCAGATCCTTACAAATGATGGTCAGCAAACGCAAAGCAGTATCCAAAGCTGCCAAAATTTGATAAGATTTATCTATCGTCTCCTGGCAGTAGTGTTTATAGTGAGAGGCTATTTTCAGAAGCAGAAATTGTTTATGATGAAAAGCGCAATAGTTTGTTACCAACCAGTGTTGAAAAATTGTTTTCATTCATCACAACCGGCCACTGATTGATTTTAAGTATTAAAGCAATACTTTGTGATTAAAATACATGATATATTTTTAATAATATTTGCTTTTTTTATTATTAGACATTCGGTATTCGGTCGAATAGTCGTAGTATTCGGCCGGATACCGATTATTAAAAAAAGTGGCCGAATAGTAGCCGAATATTGGATAAGATTCTCTACTGTAATGCATAAAAAATAGTGTAAGACGCAGAATGCTGGAGAGCTATACTGAGGACATTTGCCTATAGACCGGACAGTGCTTTGCAAAGGCTTTATCGGCTCTGATAAATCCTTAAGCTGAAGGTGTGTGTATTATTAATTAATTTTTCTGTTTTTTTATGATACTAAGTGAAGGGACGTACAAGTCGTGCGCCTGATGGTAATCTACACGCCTGTTCATAACAGTTGCAGTGCCACTCAGGGCTTTAAATCGCAAAGATCTGAGGTGCATTGCCTCTGCGCCCATCACCCTGATACATAAGTTGAAAAGTCCAATGTGCCTTATCTTATCTTAATTTCACCAGCACCTTACACAACCGGAACGCAGTTAATGCTTACATTACTGCTTGGTGGCAGAAATAGGTAAGGTGTCTATACTTCCCTGGATGAACTCTTTCACAAGGAGCTCTACTGCTACTATATATATGTTTAACGGCTACTATATATAATATGTTTATTATTGGTAATGTCTTATAACGTGTGTTTTATATTGTTACTATCGTAGATGTGGGATTTTTTCTCGTTTTATTGCTTGTTTATTTTAAGTGCTAACACCGTGGACTGATCTAATTTTCAGTTTTATTTTACATTTTAATTTTTATTTCGAAACTTATGTGTATATATAACAATTAACTTTTTGTCTTTTCATTACATTTCATTTGTGGTGACAAATGAAATGTAATGAAAAGACAAACACGTGTGGGGTGCCCGCACGACGATATGCACATCATATTTACTCCTAGAATTAATTTTCAGAATTAATAATTAAATGCAGACCTTAATCATCAACGGTTGTGATTGGGCCACCATGGTCATTCTCGGACTAGTGTCCACTACCTAATTTCCGTGGCAATTTTTATTATTTCAGTATTAGATTTTTTTATACTACAATAATGTTTAATATTCGACTATTGTATCGTGAAATGTTATTTAATAATCACACGATTTAATACTTGAGTATTTAAATAATAAAAATTGCCACGGAAATTAGGTAGTGAATACTAGTCCGGGAATGACCGACCATCCCTTATGCCAAGTTTTCACCAATTTGTCTAAATGTTTTCGGAAAAAATCGGTTATGCGACAGACGAGCAGAGCAATGATCCCATTAGTGTTTCATTTCTTAAATTTTGGTACAGAGTACTAACGGACTCGATTACGGTCGGTACGGTCTGTAAAGTAAGCTTCAGCGTGAAGTATTGCGAGACAAGGGTCGTGCACTCCGGAAGGGAAGACGGGCGAGCTCCGAGGTGACGAATATCTCGACGACGGCTCGTAATTAATGCCTTCCACAACTTGACTTATTAAGTTTGTGGATTGGCTACTTTAATTTTTTTAGTCATACACGGTTTAGACGTACGAGGATATTTTGTGTCCGCATTAAAACTACAAATAATAATTATTCAGTACTTTCTGGATTAATAAAACTACATTAACCCACTCATGGCCAGTAACGCGTTTACCGTAAAATTAAAAAGCAAGAATATGCTAGTACGGGGTACCACGTTTTAATATGAATCTTAAGAAACCAAGTACGTGCTTTTCAGTGCTATTTCTACATGCTTTCTGCGTAGTTGCACGCTTACTGCTTCTCCCTAGAGAAATATCAACAACTTACTGACAAACTTCGATGACTTACGTTGAATATTTTATATTTTATTAATAGTACCGCAAATATTTTTGTGTGCGGTACCATATAAGTAATACATAAACAGGTTAATTACCTTACGTTATTAAACATTACTGGTATGATATGTTAGTATAGTTTGATTAAGATATTTATTTTGGTTTTTACGAAAATCAGTTTTGTACATTTTATTTTCATTCAAATAAACGTTTAGGTCAGTGTGTCACCGAATAATTGATAAGTACCTAAATATGTGCATGAAGTACGGTTGCTTTTGAGCAGATTACTTGCTCTAATCTTGTTC